TAGATTTAAGAGTTCTGAAGTTCTTTCTTGGGACTTTAACTTTTCCCTTAATATTCCTTAGTGATTGATTGAAGGTATGGAGAAAATTAAAACAAAAAGAGAGAGAAAGAGAGGATGACAGAGAGAGGAAGAGGGGTATGGGGCTCTTGAGAGAGACTATAAAATTATGATGTGCAACTATATTTCTTTTGTTTGGGGATATTATTTGTTTGGTTCAATCATCTGTATCAAGGAGAGGTGGGAAAAATTTTTCTGTAAAGGGCCATGCAGTAAATATTTTAGGCTTTGCAGGCTATTTGGTCTCTGCCACAAATATTCAACTCTGTCATTACAACATGGAAACAACCACAGGTAATAGAAAACAAATGGGTGTGGCTGTATTCAGTAAAATTTATTTATGAACCCTAAAATTTGAGTTTAATAAAATTTTCATGTGTCACAAAATACTGAATTTTTTTTACCCATTTAAAAATGCAAAAATCATTCTTAGCTTGTGAGCCACATAAAATAGGTGGCAGGCCAAATTTGGCCTGTGAGATACAATTTGCTGACCCTTAATCTAATTTTTTAAAATATGCAAATTATTTTATTAGTTCTGTTTTTCTGTTGTTTAACTCAGTAATTCCTGTTAGGAATTTATGATTTCTTTTTTTCAATGTGAGAGCACTTACTATTTATTAACTGACTAGATTACAGAAATAATCATGGTAGACCTCTTAGTTCATCCTCCTAATAAGCCTGTTGATCTGGTCTTCCCTGTTGCCAGCATCTCCACCTTCTACAAAATGGGTGTTTTCTTCATTCCACCTCATGGAGAAGATAATTTGAAGGGCCACAGGAAGTTATTTGCTTCTTGAAGCATTTTCCAACAGTATAGATTGCGTGAATCAGGCCCTCCAACGCAGATGATCCCATATTGGCTAAGAGATTGAGCAAAGTGTAATCCATCAAAGCAATTCTCTGACTAATTTTTCCATAACCAAGCTTCTAGATTAGTTCATTTACTGACTTCATGTATAGGTATACTCACACAATATATAATTCTACAATCTTCAGCCTGTTAGCTGAAGCTTTGTTGAGCTTAACAAAGGTGCCATTTAAGATCTGGCAAAGGCAAAGAAACTGCAACACCTTTTGGAACTTTGGGCTCATATCATTGATACCTCTGTTTCTGATTACAAATGCCTATTGGATTCTGCAGGTACATAAAAGTTGCCAGCTTTTCTTGCCTCCTAGCCATTCGAATTTCAGTTCTGTACATCTGCCTATATTCCCCGTGATGGTGCTTAGCTTTTTTGTAGATAAGATTCCTCCTTGTCTTCAGAAGCATTTTTTGGTCAAACTTCTTTCTCGGGTACTTGATCTTCAGCTCTTCAAAATTCCTTCACTTTTTCTTACAGGTTTCCAGCAAAGCAGGAACCTTCATGGTTCTAGCTGGAAAAGAACAGGAATTTACAATTTCTTTATAATTTCTTCCTTCTGCTTTCCTTTGGTTTGCTGTCCTTTTTCTAATTTGAAAAACCAGGATGCTTAATTCATTCTCAACATTTTATTTTTCACTGAAATAAGTATTTAGGGCTATGAGCTTTCTTCAGAGGACTACTTTAGCTAGATTCCATAGATTCTGATGTGTACTTTTAAATCTTTTTTTTTCCTAGAAATTCTGTAATTTTGGTTTACATTTCCCCTTGCCCAAATATTTTTTTTAATTTCAAGATATGGGGGCAATTTTGCTTTTGGGTTTTGTTATTTTGCTATTTACCCATTCTCATTGCATTATTTTTAGAGAATGAAATGTTTTATACTTTGGAATGTATTGAAGTTCACTTTTGGTCCACTATACGTTCAATTTTCATGAATGTTACA